AGATGTTTTTTAAACAATTGTCATAAATATATTAGCATTGGTTAGGATTGAGTGAACATTTGAACAATTAGTTAACGTGTAAACAAAAATATTTGTTATATTTTAAGATAAGTGAAATGCAAAAACTTTCATTTAATGATTATGTTTCGCATTTATCTATGTTTTGAATTATTTATTAAATTATATTTTTTAGGTAAACATTGAAATAATGGGAGAAATATTAAATAAATTGTCATTTTCATGGATTAGTAGTTTTCTCTTCACACCAAATGATTTTCATGTCAAACAACTAATAACTATTGTTTAACAGTAAGTCTTCTAAATAATAACTTTATTTAGAAATATATACTTAAATGAATTTATTTAAACTAATATTTCTATATAAAGATTATTTACAAATTATAAAATGGTAAAGGATTTGCAAAATTCATTATCGAGATCATTATCAAGATTTGAATCATATTTTTGGCGAATAACTATTAGGGTATATAAGCAATAGTGACACCAATAATAAATGTCATTATGTTATTTCAATTGTAGAAAGAAAGATGTTTTCTCAACAATATTTGTTTACTATATTTCTATCAATTGTTTGTTTTGCAAAGTTATGTCAAACCGAAACGGATCTAATAAAAGGTGTTCTGTTGGGAGCACTCATTGCCAAACAAAAATCAGGCGAAAAAGTCTTCATTCTTCCCATGAAGTGAGTATTGTATGAAATTATTATTATTTTTTCCATTTTTACTTAATTTATGTGTATTTTAAAAGTGGAGATAAACTTCTCTCTGAAACGAGAACTCAAGAATTTAATGATAACGAAGACGAGGATATGTCGACGACAACTGTTTTACCAGAATATATGAATAATATGAACGCAAAGAATTCACAAATTATTAATAATATCAAACAAATGCAAGAAATGATTGAACAAATTGTTAACCAACACAAGGAAAAGAAATCTCCTCAACAACAAAAACCTCGACAAATGAATCCAATTATGAGATCACCGGTGAGACCAACCTTTCCTCAGAGGAATGGATACCCTATTAGGCAACCTAATAGACCATCAATAAAAACGTCTAACCACGATTCAAATACTTATTATGAGACATATAAACCACCTTATAGTCTGCCAATGGATCCATTAGTGTTAGGACCAGCAGTTGGACCAAAGAATCCAACAAATAATATGAATTTTATGGATAG